AATCTACACCCCTCAACACCAACCGAAGCAATAGAAGAAGAATTGAAAACTTCAGGTTTCATAGTGCGCCAGATTACAAATGTACAGAAGGAGAGTAAAGAACAGCCAGGAGTAAAAGTTCCTCTACCCTTATTTTTCGTAGATTTGGAGCCAAATCAAGGGATCGAAAAAATATACGAAATAAGAAGAATATACTACACAAGTGTTATAGTAGAGAAGCCATATCCTAAGAGGGAAATCGTACAGTGTCACAATTGCCAGGCATATGGCCATACCAGGACTTACTGCCATCATCTGCCGCGCTGTGTGAAATGTGGAGAGCAGCACAAATCCGGGGAGTGCACAAAACCGAAACGGGATCCTGCAGTTTGTGCATTGTGCCTTGAAGGACATCCAGCGAACTACAAAGGCTGTCAGATCTACAAGAATATTAAATCAAGATATCAAAAATCCCGGACCCAAGAAGAAGCAGAGGCATCAAGAAGAGAACCTAACGCATCAAGAAGAGGACCTTCAAAAAAAATTGACCCAACGGTGTCTTTTGCACACTTATTAGGAGGTAAGAATGATGTTACTTATTGTGAGACCCTGCCGCAACAACAACACATACCTCAAAATTCTCAACCCCACCCTCAACATCCTAATCAAACTTCACCTAATCAACAGTTTTATCAACACCAAATTCCCCGCATTCCTCCTCCCTCAAATACCACAGATCTCACCAGTTTACTTACATCTTTCCTCTCCGAATTCAGATCCCTTGTTACTCCTTTGATATCTCTTCTCACCAATCTTGTATCACATTTTATCCCTCCCGCGAAAAATCCTTAAATGACTTCCAATAAACCTTTATCCATTCTCCTTTGGAATGCGAATGGTGTTAGGAATCACACAAACGAACTAACTACATTATTACTTGACAAAAATATTGACGTGGCACTAATTACTGAAACTCGACTAACCACTAAACAGCACTTCAAAATACCACAATACCTGACATATCGTACTGACCACCCTGACGGAAAAGCACATGCCGGTACTGCTGTCATTGTACACCAATCCCTCTCCCATCACCTACTCCCGTTACCTACACATGATTTCCTACAGTCCACCGCTATCGTGATAAAAACCTTTTCCTTTCCGGTTACCCTTGCATCAGCGTATTGCCCTCCTAACCGATCCATATCCAATGCCCAATTCCGTTCTCTCCTCGACTCCTTAGGACATCACTTCATCTTGGGTGCAGACCTAAATGCCAAACATCAACAATGGGGTTCCAGAACCACGAATACTCGTGGCCGAACCCTGCTGTCTGCACTCAATTCCCAACATTTTCACCTCCTTTCCCCCAACTCTCCTACCTACTGGCCTACAGATCCCAACCGTAATCCTGATCTTCTTGATTTCTTTATCCACAGCGGCTTAAGTCCCCTCAATTGTTCCATTACACGTCTAAATGAACTTTCCTCTGACCATAGTCCTCTAATCCTTAATGTTTCACTTGAACCCGTTCCCAAACCTTCTCCACCGTCATTTATTAGGGGCCCAGTTAACTGGGACCTTTTCCGCCAAATCATCTCCGATAAAATTGATCTTAACATATCCCTCAAAACTCCCGATGACCTTGATAGTGCCGTAAATTCCTTTACTACCACAATCCAACAAGCCGCCTGGACTGCTTCCTTCCCAAAAGACTCCTCCAGAATTCCTAAAAAGACCATTCTACCCCAACACCTCCTTGACCTAATCCAAACCAAACGCCGTGCCAGATTATTGTGGCAACGTACCCGACATCCTACCGACCGCTGCTCCTATAATTATTACTGCAAAAAATTAAAACTGGAATTAGCCACCTTCAGATCACATTCCTTCAACTCCTACCTATCCTCCCTTTCTTCTCGCGACAATTCCCTTTGGAAAACCACTACCAAAATCTTAAATCCTCACCGCATTTCCCATCCCCTCCGACGAGATGATGGCTCCTGGGCAGCATCTGACGAAGATAAGGCTGAGGAGTTCGCCATTCACCTATCCAATACATTTATTTCACATCCGGAATCCCATCCTGCCCACACCGTAACAGTAGAAGAACTCCTTACATCACCAATCCCACTTTCCTTGCCCCCAAAAGCTATTCATCCTTCCGAAGTGAAATTTCAATTAAAAAAATTAATCCCCCGTAAAGCTCCTGGACATGATCTCCTTACCCCTCAAATCCTTCGACAACTTCCATCCAAAGCAGTCATATTCCTTACATATATCTACAATTGTATCCTACGCACCACCCACTTTCCTCTGCTATGGAAACACTCCACTATTATCCTTTTCCCAAAACCAGGCAAACCTCCCAATATCTCAACATCCTATAGACCAATTAGCCTACTCCCAATCCTTTCAAAAATTTTTGAAAAGATCCTTTTGAAACGAATCCTACCCATTATAGAATCCCAAAATATTCCTTCCCATCAGTTTGGTTTTCGCTCCCAACATTCTACTGTTCAACAAGGACTCCGAGTTGTTGATCATATTTCCTCAGCTCTAGAAAACAAGGAATACTGTTCGGGTGCATTTCTGGACATTGCACAGGCATTTGACCGAGTATGGCACTCCGGACTGCTCTTCAAGCTTAAAATCCATTTACCTCAGTCCTTGTACCTAGTCCTCCGATCCTACCTCTCTGACCGCTCCTTCCGAGTTCGCTGTGGAACAGAATTTTCCAATATATACTCCGTTAAAGCCGGTGTTCTCCAAGGCAGCGTCTTGGGTCCCGTGCTTTACATCCTCTTTACTGCTGACATCCCTGTTCATCCCGATACTTTTCTTGCAACATTCGCTGACGACACCGCAATCTTATCATCCAACTCTGATCCCAACATAGCATCCTTAAATCTCCAAAACCACCTCACCTTGATTGAGCACTGGTGTAATAACTGGCGCATTAAAGTTAATGAATCTAAATGCCAACATATTACCTTTACACTCCGACGCAGTTCCTGTCCACCAGTACACTTTAATTCCATCCAGCTTCCTTACTCAGACACAGTCCGGTATCTTGGCTTTCATTTAGACCGAAGACTAACGTGGAACCCACATACTAGACTCAAAAGACAAGAACTCAACCGACGATACGGCCAGCTATACAGACTACTAAACAGAAAATCCAAACTTTCTATTGAAAACAAATTACTTATCTACAAGACAATACTGAAACCTATATGGACATACGGACTTGAACTGTGGGGGACAGCAAAAGCTTCTAACATCAAACGTATTCAATCCTTTCAATCTAAAGTCCTTCGAACAATAGTTGATGCTCCGTTCTATGTAAATAACAAAATCCTACACCATGACCTTAATATCCCATTTGTAATAGACCTTATTCCAGAAAAATTCTCCAAATTTCACCAGAACCTTACCTATCATCCAAATCCCCTTGCACAATCTCTATCCAGCACCACCCATCCTTACAATCCTCTCCTCGAAGGTTGAAGCGGCAGTGGCCCAGAGACCTTCTGTAAATAAGCATCTATTGGAGTTTTTTCAATGGCCAAATCCTCCACTCAAGCCCGAGTGTGTATGATTAGATTAGTTCTTTTGTTTATATACATTTATTTTATTTTATTGTATTTATTTTTATTTTATTTTATTGTATTTATTATTATTAAGTTTCTGTATTATTATTATTTTTTTTTTATTTATTGTAAATAGAGTGTGAGTGTGTTCTCTGAACACTGTTACAAATGTCCTTGATGTGACAGAATGTGATATTTCTAAATAAACAAATATAAATAATAACATGCTAGGGATGTTACAGTTTCGTCAAAATCGGCTTACCGGAAGTGGCACTTTATATAATGGCCAGTAACACATTTTTATAATTTTCTCGAAAACGGCTCTTACGATTTTGATTAAATTCATTATATCAGAGTAAAATTAAGTAGTTTTAAGTAAAATGTAGTTTTATTCTGATTGATGTTCTCTAACAGAGCTTAAATGGCTAATTTTCAATATCAGCTTTCTCTAAAGTACCTTTAATTTTTTTTATTTGAAACAATTGACCATTTCACATTAATTTCTAATATAAAAGATAGTTAAATATAAAATATGAAATAATTTGATAACTAACTAAATGAGAAATAATAGATCGTAAAGGAGAATAGTTGTAATTGGAGAACCAAAGGAATATGAGCGCATCCAAGCTCGCCCGGAAGATTAGAACACGCTTCCATACGTAACATGAGCTTAATATAATACGGACTCTGACGATATTCTATAAATATACAAATACGGTTTTCATAAATGCTATTGTTGGTATTATTTAATATGTAATTATGTAGATTACGGCGATATAAATATTAAAATTTGTTTACATTAGGGTATTTATACCAATAAAAATATCCATAATGAAATATAAATAAATATAGCTTCTATAATTTTTACTTTCTCTTCCCCTTTGTCTGAAAATACTTATTTCTGCTAAGAAGAGAGTGGTAACTGAAAGTTGTATGACGCACCGCACCAGATTTTTTTTCTTTCCCGGCACGTTTGAACAATTATTGCACGATTGAAATTTCAGATATTTATACTACACCATTTTGTAATAATTGACAAGATTAAAGAATAATTTTTTAAAACGTGTATTTCAAGTTAATATAATTTTTAAAAAAAGAAGAGATCTTACGGCAGTAAAGTCCATCAAAGTGATAGTAGATTAAAGGACGAAAGGGAGCACAAAGGGATGACCCATCAAGCCTCCTTTGTTGACTTTAAACTTTAAAAGGAGCGACAGCACGTGCCGTGCCAGGTGTCCTAGCGGTACCATTTAGGGGCAACAGTTGGCGACAATGGTCACGGTTCCGGTCGCGTGCGCTCTCGTGACTCGCCGAATTTCTCCCGGATTAACAGTACTGCTAGGAGTACCTCGGATTTATTACAATAGCTATACTGCTACTCAGAGGCATCAGCTATGTAATATACATTATTATTAAAATTGTTTTCAGGAAAATGCAACGCATATTCATCGTATTTAAAATATACACAGACCTCAAGTGGAGACCTATATTAAGATTGTCAGAGTTTGTGGCGATTAATGCTGAGTAGACAAGGTGAGTCAGATACTCAATTCCAGCGTAAAAAAAAAATAGATATAAAATATCAACAGACATAAACAACAATTTTCTAAAACCTGATTCACATCCACAGGTTGATTATTAGTATTTTAAAATTTTGAAAAAATTTAATAACGATAAAGGACACTCTCGACTTGAAAGAAAAAAAATGTGAGCTCATATAGTAATAGTTAGTGAAATACTAAGAAGCATCATGGATTTTTTTTGTGAATATGTCCATAAAAACAATCAATGGTCTTGATGGTTGAACACCGATGATGGTTCTGATGTTACAAAAGTAAAATAAAACTATTATATATGGGTATAAAACGAATTTTTAAAAATAAAATAAATCTTTTTTTTTTAAATAATATCTTACACAGAAGTTACAATTATTATTATTATTTTTTGTTTGTTAGAAAATCTTTTTTATAAAGGTAATGTTTTGGCTAATTATTATAGTTTTTTTCTACATTATTTGTTTCTAGATTACGGGACTGGCGTGTGAGGATAACAAATAGGCATTGAAACTTTTAAGGGATTCTCGTTAAGCACCAAATGGTGTAATAAGAAAGTGCAAAGTAGGGCATTACTGTAGAAAAGACTAAAAATGTGATAAAGAAAAAACCGAGTTGATGAATCGTTTAGCAAAAACAAGACAGCTAATTTCAGTCTAATCCTGGTAATTCCCAAAATGAAGGTTTTGCAGTGACGTGGTATTACAATATTTTTGTTAATTATGTTTTTCTTTTTATATTTGATTTCTCACTATTTTTCCACGTTTGCGTAATTTCTTGAAGAATGATTTCTCATGATCAGTTAGCAGTTCCGATACTCTGATATCAAAGACAGTCTTGTGACGACAATCGGACATTTTCAATCGAACCTCCCACTTGATCAGAAATATATAAATATATTGGGTCAAAAATTCTCCTTTAATGAATCGATTACACTGGCGGATCTACGGAGGGGGAGGGCTTTTGAACTGAAGTCTCCTCCCCAAAATGGTAAAATATAACCATGTTTTATGGAAAAAAATATAAACAAATTATCTCTTGAAATATTACTACATTACATTATTACAGTAGTTCGTGTAATTACATTTTAAAGGACTTTAGGAGGACTTTACACTTAAACACCATTTCATAAAGGTTGTTAGTTTCTTTCTTTTTTCCCAAAGTAATCATCGTTATTTTTATGAAAAAGAGCTTTCGGGCTGAAGCCCCCTAAATTAAATCCTGGATCCGCTAGTGACCTATTATATATAAGGAGTGTAGAAATAATTGAAACCTGGAAGCTAGGTTTACTGAGCTGTAAGTGAAAAAAAACATTTTTGAGATTTTAATATTAGAAATTATAATATTAAAACCTATTAATTATTAATATTAATTATTGTTTTTTGGACAAATTAGCTTATTTGAAAGTCGAAAATTCTGAATTGCTACCATAAAGATTGGAAATTGGATGGTTTATCTAATAGCATAGCTCAGACGATTATTGATAAACATTTTTAATAGCAGAAGACTTGTTTAGCGTTTTAGCAATTGTCTAATCACTGAGTTAGAACCTTATTTATTATCTTTATAAATTATTAAGGAAGGAGATGGTCCGAAGTGGAGGTCATAAATAGGCTAAATATTGGCAAAACTATTTTATTAAAAGCCAACGCCTCGACCCGACTTTGCAGGTCTTCTTCAGGTAGGTGTGTTCAGCTAGGAGTTTCACTTAGAACTGATACAGTTCTATCTGAAAACTGAACACACCTCCCTGAAGAAGACCTACAAAGTCGGGTCGAAACGTTGGCTTTTAATAAAACAGCCACTATTTAGCCTATTTATGACCTAAACTCCGGACCATCTCCTTCCTTTATAATGCAACGGTCACCTATTAAATATTCAATTCTTTATAATTTATTAAATTTCCAAACAATTTTAGTTGAGCGGGCCGACGCTTTCATCATGATAAGGAATCTTCTGAGACCTCCGGTTGTTCCTCGGTTCCTTTCCCCCGACCGCAGAAGGCATATAAATGAAAGGAGCTGGCTGCGGGGCAGGTTATGACCCAAGGGACAGGGAGCCGCTGTTGGTTTTATCAATCAAATAGCCGAGAGCTCAAATAATAAAGCGCAAACAGAAAAAGCCAGGGCTAATATTGACCCGGTACAAAAAGCGACCAGCCTGATTAGACCAGAGATTGGGGTGGCACTGGGACCAATAGCGGTCGAGATGTTTACCCTCCACTACGAGTGTTATCCAAATAGCTGCTCCCCCTCTCCCTCGTTCCCCCCATCGGCGTATTTAGTTAATTAGTTAACAGCTTGTTTACTTAGGCATAATACTTGTCAATTACAATACCTAGATCACATAAGAACCTGCCCATTGCGTTAAATGCTCTCAATAGTGGCAAGTTCATTATTATTTCGGCAAAATGAATTCCTTATGTATATATAAAAAAAAAAAAACGCTGTAAATTATTTCAAAATGGTTTATTATTTCAAAAAAATTATACATCTAAAGTAACATTACCTTCCTAATTATAAATAAAAATAAATAAAAGGTGATTCCAATTATTCAACTAAACATTTTTTTTTCAATCATTAGTAATATGCTAAAAAAACCAGTATTACTTCAGTAACACATTCAAAATTCAAAAACCAAAACAAAGGATATAACCTTTGCAGTCGAACATAAAAAAAAAAAAAAAACTAGAGACCATATCTTTGCTCCTAATTGGCCGATTTTAACAATTTGTTTTTTGTTTGTTTTTTTTAGAAAATACTGTAAACTTTTAAAGAACTATACAATATTAACAAAAAAGTGTATACTTTTTGAGTTATTCGGAATTTAATTTTATAATCCCTTGTAACTTTTTTCCCAGCTTTTTTTCAATGAAGTATGTTATATAAATAAATTTGAAGGGCGTCGAGAAAATGACTTTAGCGAAGTTTCATTGAAATCGGTACATTCGTTTAGGCGCTACAATCTATAGCAACGTAGGTTTTTCGGCCGCTGTTTTGAAAATAAAAGGCGAATAGTAATATCGATGAAGGAGGATCATCCTCGGGTGGGTTCTGATTATATATCCAAATTTAAAAAAAATCGGTCCAGTAGTTTCGGAGAAAATGTGCGGACGGCGGACGGACAAACAAATTTTTATTCGTTCTTCGAATTCTACGCATCCTGAAACGTGAAACCTCAAATTTTGAGAGGGGGTCATGGTTTTGAATTTTTCGGTCGATCACAATGGTTGATTATTGAAAATAATAAAACAAAATCACTCTCACTCTCTCCCTCTCTTTCTCTCTCTCTCTCTCTCTCTCTCTCTCTATATATATATATATATATATATATATATATATATATATATATATATATATATAAGTGATAAGCCTGCAATAATGAACAATTCTTTTTTGTCACATATTTCATAAAGATGATGTAAGATCAGGAAAAAATTCAAATAGGGTAAGAAAAATTTCAGAAACAGAAAAGCGTGATCACAGAATAATTCAGTGAAAAATTTATTCCATTCGTACATAGAACGTATTTATAATATGTATATAAGATATACAAATTTTACTTGTTTGTAAATAGAACATTCCATTTCTGCCATTCACTTTCTTGTAAAATTGATTTTTTCCTGTATTTACTTTATTTTTTTATAAAAACAGATTTAATTATTGATCTAACATTAATATTGTTTATGATAAAAAAGCTAAATACTGAAGAGAGCAAAATCACTCGTTTCAAAAAGCTGAGAGAAAATTTTATAATCTCCTGAAATCGAATACAAAATAAGACTTTGTAAGAAAGTCTACAAAGAAACTTTTCTTTGTAGCACCCTGGACAAGTTAGCTTTTTCCAGTTATCGGAAAATATTTAGAGCTGTCCAAAAAACTTTAATAGGAATGCTTTCTGGCTTAGGAATTTGCAAAAAGAAACAAAGGATGTTCCTACCATGGATGCAATGCAAATTTATAGCGATGATGTACAGGAATCTATCAAGTGTACACATAACTAAAAAGTACTAGGGGCAGATAAAATTCAAAACTATTGGCTCAAATACTTTAAAAGTGTACATGAAACATGAACAGAAACAACTAAGAAATTCAGTCATACTTCAAAAGGACTTTCATATCCATATTCAGTAATTAACTAATGGGACAAAAGGACAAGCAACTGGTACAGGAGCAGACTGGATGAAAGCGAAATTCTAAGGGAAGCAAAGAGCTTCTTGTAGTCGATTTTTTCATAGCTTATCAGGTATCAAAAAAGTCGCGCAATATATCACTTTCGTGGATTGATTATCAGAAAGCATTCTCAGTTCCTCATGACTGGTTGATTGAAGTTCTCAGACTTTGGGAAGTGTCATTGGTGCATCCAACTTAAAAGAATCCCATCGTCTAAGAGAACATCTCTATAAAAAGAGGAATATTTCAGAGGGATTTGTTAAGCCTTTTATCATTCTGCCTTGCAATTAATCCTGTAAGTTCTATTTTAAAGCGAATCGGAAAAAGTTTCTCCGAAAAGAGACAAGGATTTCTCATTTTTATTTATACGGATGACTTAAAGCTCTATGCAAAGAAAGCGAGACATGAGAAGTCTTCTTGAGTTAATAAGGTCATTTACTGAAGATATTGGGATGTAGCTGGGGGCAGAGAAGTGTGCAATCCTTTACGTGGTAACTGACTCCTACAAGTACCGTGTGTATATAACCGAAGAAGGATACTCCTTAAAAAAAATTTATCGGATGGAAATTTTGTAAAAGCTTTGAATAGCTGGGCTATTCCTGAGATTACTTACTTATTTATTTATTTCAAACGACAAAATCACGGCTACGTCACCCAAATTCTGTACTGCCGGGACTATCTTTGCCTAGAAAACATGGAGATAGGGGACTTATTAGTCATCTACAGAAACCAGCCACAGGCGTGGTTAGAAAGAGCGAATGTCGAAGTGTACTCGGATCAAACTATGATAACTGACCATAGTATTCCCCTCTACTGACCACTACTACTTATTGAAAAAAAAGAAGAAAGAAAGTTAGATTTCCTGCTGATGATAATGTAGCTTAAACATTAAGTGAAAACAAATTGAAAATACCAAGAGCTATGCCAGGAATTAAAGCATTGATACCAACTGGTGGAAGTAAGAATACTACCCATTATGGTATCCAGCAATGGTTTGATCCCTGAAGACTCTGAAATCATGAAGATACTTTGAATAAGCTGAGAACTTAAATAAATCCGTAAAGCACTAATGCTGGAAACCGCAGGCATGGATAAACATTTTTTTAATTTTTCTAATCAAATACCCAATAAACCGTACCCTTCCACCTCTTGTCCGAGTCGGTGAATTTATCCTGCAAAAGTCGGTAAGAGAAAAATAAAAATAATAATAATCAACAGTTGTGATATTTATAAGAATGTTCGCTCTTACGGTACATTTTTTTTTCTATTTTGTTAGTTCAAGACTTCCATTGATGTCCTACATTGCTTGAGTACAATTTTAGTCACCTCATATTTGAAATATTACAGAATTATCTACTGTATATTTATCAAATAAAAAAGTTTAAAAATCAAAACAAATAAAACTGGATTCTCC